TCACTAGCTGTGTGACCCTGGGCAAGTCACTTAACCCCACTGCCTAGCAAAAAAAAAGAAAAAGAAAAAAAAATAAAGTTCTACCAAAAACATATCTGTTTTTTTGAAACAAGGCAACTATCCATTTATACGTCTTAGATGTTAGTCTACCATGGCCACTAGGGTTTTACATAGAAAAAGAAAAAAATTCCACCTACTTCCATAAAAGTAAGGAATTATGAGATAACAGGTATTTTATAGAGCCAAATGCTTAAGTTTCAAGAGGATGATCTCTGCTGAAAAAGAAGCCAGTATGGTACCCAAAATTTATCAATTAAAGAAGTTTTTCTAGTAACAAAATTTTGTATTAGGATAAGAATACTTTGTCTTATTTATTAAAAACTCTAAATGGAATCCCATTTAAAATGCTCTAGGGAACTTGTTTTTATTCAAAGAAATGCACATGTGAATTCTTTTGTAGAGCAAAACCACTCCTGCATTTATCTTTTACATAAATCTATACTTTCAAAATCTTATAAGCTAACTAATCCAACCAATCTGACATTAGCGACAAAAAACAGAAAGCCCATAGAGGTTAAGTGACTTGTGCAAGAATCAGAAAAGAGAGTTAGTGAGAGTAGAACCCATGCATCCTAAATCCATATCCAGTCTTATTTCTACTACACTACACAGACATGTCTAAAGTACACCTATAAACTAACCAGGTAGGCCTCCTTACTTGATATGCTGCTTTAGAAATGAAATCTATCTAAGAAATGATGAACAGGTTGACTTCAGAAAAACCTGGAAAGACTTGTATGGTCTGATGCTGAGCGAAGTGAGCAGAACCAAGAGAACTTTGTACACAATAACAGCCACTTTGCGCAATGACTAACATTGATAAACTTAACCCTTCTCAGCAATACAAGGATCTAAGACATCCCCAGAGGCCTCGTGATGGAAAATGGTATCCACATCCAAAGAAAGAACTATGGAAGTAGAATCGCTATCATTTTTTTTCCTCTTCTGTTGAGTTTTATTTCCTCTTTCTAATGGCGCCTCCTATTGGTTTTAATTTTTACTTACAACTTCACTAACGTGAAAATATGCTTAATAGGAACGTAAATGTATAGCCTATATGAGATTGTGCGCCATCTTGGGGAGGGTGGTGGGGAGGAAGGGGGAGAAAAATTTTAAACGCAAAAGCATAGGAAGTGATTGTTGATAAATCAAAATAAATTAATAAAATTTAAAAACTAAAAATAAAAAATTTTTTAAAAATTTAAAGAAATGAAATTTATCAAAACTTTTGAAAGTTCTTAAATTCCAAAACACATTTATCTTGTTTTCATCCACCATATACACAAAACAAAGATAAAAGATAAATTAATTTTAACTTCAGAATCAGAATGGAGGAGTGAAGGCAGGAGACAATTTAGATAAGAAATGGATCAATTTATAGATAACATTAATAATACAACACTGTATTCATCAATCTCTCTAATTCTTACTGCTTCTTTATTCTCTTCATCCCTTTGGCTTATATAGCCATCATCAGCATACATATATTAAATGTCTACTGTATACAGGTACTGGAAATAGAAAAAGAAATATAGTCCCAGCTCTCAAGAAGCATTAAATCTAGTTGCACAGGCTGAGTATAAACATAAAAAAGATGAACAGTAATATAAGATATCATATACCAAATGTCAAATGAGTATTTAGATACTAAGAGGGAGGGGTTTTTTGCACTTTAAAATGAACTATTTTCTTTTTTTTTTTTGGCTAGATAACAGGGTTAAGTGACTTGCCCAGAGTCACACAGCTTGTAAGTGTTATGTGTCTGAGGTCGCATTTGAACTCAGGTCCTCCTGACTCCAGGGCTGGTGCTCTATCCACTACGCCACCTAGCTGCCCCAAATGAATTATTTTCTTAATATTCTTAAGTAGTTTTCAGGAGTATTCTGTCTCTTCAACTACTATAGATTTTAATTTCCTCAAGAACTGAGGATAGTGATGGGTGGGGGGAAGAGCAAGATGTAGGTACGCCTGCGCACCAGGGGAAAGGAGGCTGGGGCAAGAACGGGGCGGAATCTCGCTGCTCGCTTACCCAAGTGTCGGAGGTCCTCCCCCCTCGCCTCCCCGCGAAGCAACAATTCGAGGAGCAGGGCGGGGCGTCTCGTGCAAGGGTCCAATACGGGCTCGCCTTGGCGGACGCCAAGTACTTAGTATAATGCCAGGCATATATTAGGCACTTAATAAATGCTTGTTTCTGATTCATTTCACTCCCATTTGTGGCTCTAACCTCATTCGAGGTCTTCTTGGCAAAGAGAGTGCCATTTCCTTTTCAAGCTCGTTTTACAGAAGAGTAAACTGAGGCAAACAGGGTTAAGTGATTTACGCAGGGTCCTACAGTTATTAAGTGTCTCAGGCCAATTTGACTCCAGGCCCAGTGCTCTCTATCCACTGAACCACCTTAGATGCCCTTTCACTCCCATAGCACCTGATATATAGTACTCAGCACCAAGTAAACAATCATTAAATGTAGACAAATACCATATTATAGATATGTCTACATTAATGAGGACAGGTCCCACATCTAACTGAATTACTCTAGTGAAGGGGGTCTTACCTTTCTGGGTGTCATTGGATCCTTTGACAATCTGATGAAATCTATGGATGCCTTCTCAGAATGTTTTGTTGCCCACATTAATAAGTGAAATAAAAGCTAAATTTCAATTACAGGATAGCGAAAATAAATAGGTAATTTTTTTTTACTGTCCAAGTTCTCTTATTCCCTGAAATCTATACACCAACCCCTTGAAGGCTAAGAAACTCTGCTTTAGCATCTTTTACAGTACCATATTTCATAGGCTGAAGATGAATAATTCTAGTATGTTAGATTTCAGTAATGTTTTTGACTATATTTTCTGACCAGTTGTCCTTTCAACCAGAGCTCAAGGTGAATGCTCATTTTCTTTCCCGTTAATACTACTACTGAGTTCACTGTAATTTACAACAACAGTCAAAAATACTTCTACAATATAAAATTGGGGTAACGATTCATATGCTGCTGGTAAAGCAAAAAAAGAAAGCAGTTTTCATTTTCTACAAAACTAACATTGTCTGCAAGGGAAAAAACTGAGCAATTTGTTGAATACGAATAAGTGGGTTATTCTTCAGTCATTCGGCACAAAGCTTCTTGCTGACTTTTGCCATGGTGAATATCTAATGATCTTACCTCCACTCAAGTAACATTTGCAGCACACACCACCTATGTTTCATGTAAAAATATTGAAGGATTAAAACACTGAAAGATAAAATCGATATACTTTTAAAACCTACAGTAGTCTTTCTGAAATACCATTTGTATTCATACACTAGAACTGATACGTTATTCATACACTAGAAGTGATAAACAGAACAAGCATTAAGATTAAATATAGGTTGACTTTAGAACTCAAAAGATTACAGAGTAATTCATTCAAGAAACACATCCTTGTCTAACAGTGACCCAAAACAATTAAAATGAAAAGTCCCATAACTGGACTTTAATGGAAATGAGAAATATAGGCATCATTCTGTCACTACACCTGGCATTAAGTGAAATACTAATCCCAACACCTTGAACAAAGTGTCATAAAAAGAATCAGAAACTAACAAGCAGGGAGAAATAGTTAACTCTCTGACCTGTTGGGAAAAAGAAGGAACAATATACTTATATTGTTTATTGTAATCGACTAAAAACCTAATGCATAGTTTCTTGGCTACATAAGGAACAGCCCAGTATGCCACATGGGAAGCTCCGTAGGCACTTAATAAACACCACCAGCAAATGTGCTAATAAAAATTACTAGTTACAATTATTTTGTGTTTCTGCAATTTGACCAGAGATTTAACTTCAAACTCATAAATCAACCTGCCACTATTTAACAATTGTTCCACTCGGATGTTTTTAAAAACAGGGATTCCCGGCAGATAAGAAAACGCAGTAGCCAGGACAAGTCCTAGACGAGTAACCACTGACGTGAAGAAGTTTTAAGCAAGAAGCTCAAAGCATTTACTCACTAAATCCTGCTGCTTTAATTGTCTTACACAATTCTTATAATTTACATAAGCTTAAAAGTCTTAGTTAAAATACTCAAGATCTAAGTATAGGGCTTTATTTTAATCGTAAACAAAACCAGGTCACTCCTTAGGACCAGGCTTCTTTTGCCTTATTAAAATTAGGTGGAGGAGGAGGAAGAAGAGAGTACCCATCCTCCTCTCTTTGGACCACACTACCTCGAGGTAGTTAACCACAAACACAGCCACAAGCTGTTTTTGAAGAGACGCACTAAAATGCCATGTGACAATGTAACTTTTTTTGTTACTATTAAATAATGTCCTTTCCACCCTAGATAAGATACTGTGACATAAAGTGTCACCACAGAGGAAAAATTGCGAGGAACTCCAACATACACTCCCAACTACGGAAAACAAACACGCAGAAAGAGCGGAAGATACAGACATTTAAAACGCTTTGGGGACGTTTAACGAGGGACTGCTCCCAAAAACTCCCACCAAGGTACCTGACGCCAGGCCCCCACCGCCCCTCCCCAAGACCACCGCTTTCCCCGCCTTCCACCCCACTCTTTGCTCCCTCCACCAATCTTCCGCGGGGCTCCGCCCTGGGCCCCGCCCCCTCCGGCATCCCCCGCCCCCTCTCCTCCTCTCTCCTCCCACCCCCAGCGCCCGGCGCTCCGAACCCGCCGGGGCTCGCGCTCTCTCCCTCTCTCCCCCCTCCCCCGCCCCCCGCCCGGACCGAACGGTGGCCCTCCGACCTGTGCTACGCGGCTCTATTCCGCCGCCGCCGTCGCTTCCCCCTTCCCCCCCTTTCCCTCTCCCCTCCCGGCCCAGCGTCGCGAGGCGCCCCATTCCCTCCTCCTCCTCCTCCTCCCCCCCAGCCTCCCCGCAACGCGAGCCCCCGCCCCCCTAGCCTCCCCACAGCGCCCGAGCCGGCGGAGGGCGGGGTCACTCACCCGTCCGCAGCTCGTGTTTGACAGTTAAGAGCTGGTCCCCTCCGTCCACGCTGGTCCCCGTGGCGCTGACACCGCCGCCGCCGTCGCTGCCGCCGCCACCCTCCTCCATTTTCCCTCTCTCGATCTCACGGGGACGTTTACGTGGGGCACCTCAGGCGACACAACACCCAGAAAGCTGACAGCTCCGGCCGACGCCGCGTGTCAGCTCCAGGACTCGGACGGAGAGACCGGGCTCTTCCCGCTCTGTCCGTTCGCCTCCCTCCTCTGCCTCCTCCCCCTACCCGAGGGCACTGCGAGTACGGCGCAACCAAACTCACCCCGTCCCCTCCGCCTCCTCCCTCCAAGCTGAGTCTCCAGCTCCCCTCCCACCCCACCCCCCCAGCCAGCAAGGTAGGGAAGCCGTTGGAACCACCATCTCCCATTGGACTCCGGGCGCGCGCGTCCGCCAAGGCGAGCCCGTATTGGACCTTCGCACGAGACGCCCCGCCCTGCTCCTCGAATTGTTGCTTCGCGGGGAGGCGAAGGGGGAGGACCTCCGTCACTTGGGTAAGCGAGCAGCGAGATTCCGCCCCACTCTCGCCCCGGCCTCCTTTCCCCTGTTGCGCAGGCGTACCTACATCTTGCTCTTCCCCCCGCCCATCACCCCTCCCAAGCCACACCTCTCCACTTCCCCCACCCGGCTCTGTTAGTAAACATTCCTTCGGACTGTAATCCGGAGGCGTTCCGGTTTTGTGATTGGTCTTCTATTGGGGAGGGGCGACGAAAACTGATTGGAGGCTTTGGTCTGTCAATCATTGTAAGGCGGGAAGGAATCACAAAACCAGCACCCCGGCTCACGTGTGTGTCCTCTTAGCAAAAAGGTATCAAATTCGTATCTCCTAAGTGAACTGCTGGAAGAAGATATTTCAAGGCTGAAAAGTGGTAAATTCTTTTAAATAATCAGGCAAAGGGGAGACAATTAAGCAGTGTAAAACTGATCTTTGGCCTTAAGTCAGCTCAGAATCCTAGTGCTCCTAAGTAAAAATTTTGAGCCCAGAGTAATATTATTTATTGAATTTTGAATGTTTATTAAATGAGATCGAAAATAAAAACAGATACAATAGAATTGGACGTTGCCTACAAACTAGAAATAATTATAAGAAATATAATACTACTGGATATACTAGAATACTGCCTGTTGTAGCTGTATTATTTCACAACAGGCCAAAGGGTCAGATTTTGAAAACTAAAAAATGTTAAGCATGTCCTCCTCCTTTGTGAGTTTTTTCAAAGAGTCACTAACCTATAAACATGTATACCTGAAATTTAAGATTTGTGCATATGTTCAAATTGACCCAAGGAGCACTTTAGCTATATATAAAATATTAGAAATTTCATATTTTATTTCAGCATATGCTTATTTCTGTCTCTTTAGGTGGGAGATACTATGGTTACAGTAAAGCTGACAAATAAGTAAATTGGGAGACAAAAAGTTGTGCAAAGCCATAGCCCACATGTTTTCTTCAACGAGTCACCCCATATAATTGTGACCCAATTTAGAAATGGCCATCTATTCTGTGACTTCTAGTCTTGTTCCTCATGCTCTATCAGTTCTGGTTCCTGTGTGGTCAAGATTTGGTTTCCCTTCCTGTAGGTCTCCTTCATTGCCCAAAGAGAAGTGACTTGGGCTTGATATATGCCAGAAGGATGTGGGTTAAACTCACTTTTCAAATAATTTTTCCCCAATGTGTTAACAGGAAGGCTTTTAACTATTTGATAACAGAAGGAAGAGGAAGACCTCAGTCTTTTCATAAAAAGAATAAGCTTAGGGTCCCAACATTGGAAGTATCACTGGAAGTTAGCACACAATTGGTTAGATAAGAACAATTCCAAAAGAATGACTAGCAAGAGCTAGTGTCAAAAAAGCAATTCTCATTGTCAATATTCCAAAATTCCTTATGATACTGATTAATTTTTAAGTACTTACAAAGACTGAAATGAACTAGTTCCTGCCCCTTCAGGAAGCTTAAATTTTATTTGAGAGGAGATGAAAGTAACTATAGAAACCTACCTCATAACCTGCTGATCAAGTTATACACAAAAGTTATGGAGATAGGAGCAGCTAGGTGGCACAGTGGATAGAGAGCTGGGCACGGAGTCAAGAAGACCCAAGTTCAAATTTGGCCTCAGATACTTACTAGCTGGGCAAGTCACTTAATCCCGGTTGCCTCACAAAAACAACAACAAAAAAACCCAACAACAACAACATACAAAAAAAGAAATTTTTTTAAAAAAGTTATGGAGAATCAGATGGCTATCAAACTAAAGACTAAATACATACTTGGTCATCTTTGTTCCTTCTTGGTCACTCTGCCCCAGCCCTCCCATTCCCATGTCTAATCAGTTGCCAGCTCATCACCTAAAAAATGCCTTGCACATAAGTAGTTAACAAATGTGAGAATCAAAAAATATGGTTTATTTAAAGTTTTTTGCAAACCTTAAAGTATTACATGGCAATTATTATTTTCAATGAATGAATGCTATTGCTTAATGGTTTAGAGAAGAGTGGATTGTAGAACAGTCCAACTTTATGGCTGTGAGATTTGGACCCATTTATCTACCTCATTATTTGATTTCATGAATGCCACCCACAAGTTATACTTACATTAAATGATGTAGACTTACCATAAGTGATCATCTTGGTTGCAGCTTTCTAACATGGCTCCACTGGTGAGACTTGTTTTGAGGGTGGATTCTTAACTCACTACCATAAGGGCAATTGAAGTGAGACAACCAAGCAGAGTGAGCAGAACAAATGGGTGAGACCACACTGAAACCCAGCTTGAAATAATGTGGCAGATTGTATGGAATGCTGTAAGGGAGGCTCAAAGGATATATAGTAATAAAGGGTGAGCCCCTGAGTTAAACCATCAGGCAGATAGATGTACAGAAATGGCAATGACAGACCTTGGATATTAGCAGGTGCAATAGCACATAATGATTGCTGAAAAAAGGACAGTAGAAATAGAAGTACAGAAAGAAAGAGGAATGAGTCTTTGGAATCTGAGGATGGGTTCAAATTTGGACTCTGCTACTTCTCTACCTGTTCAAACTTGAATAAGTTACAACCTTTTAGGGCCTTAGTTTCCTCATCTAAAACATGAGTTGTAAACAAAGGTAAAAACTACATAATCCTAGTTCTAGTATAGAAGGGGTTAAGGCTTACCAAAAAAACCCTCTTATACAGGTTAGAAGGTTATGAATACACAGAAGGCCAAGAGAAGGATGGAAGACTAGGTAGGGAAGTCCAAGAGTATCAGGGGAGTCTTGAAGTAGTGCCTGGACTGGATATTGAAGGAGGAGATGGATTTCAACAGGTAGAGATGGGGAGGAAGGAGAGTAAAAATGGAGATGTAATATACAAATGGATGGAAGTAGAAGCAGCATAATAAAATTAGGGGCAGCTAGGTAGCACAGTGGACAGTGCTCTAGGTCTGGAGTCAAGAAGAACTAAATTCAAATCTGGCCCAGACACTTACCAGCTATGTGACCCCCAGGGCAAATCATTTAGCCACTTTTGCCTCAGTTTCCTTATCTGTGAAGTGGGGATAACAATAGCATCTACCTCCCAGGGTTGTTGTAAGGATCAGATGAGATAATATTTGCAAAGTGCTTAGCACAGTGCCTGACACATAGTAGGTACTATATAAATGTTAGGTAGGTAGTAGTAGTAGTAGTAGCCACAGTAGTAGTAGTAATAGTAGTAGTTCGTGATCCAGATAGAGTAGAGCGGAGAGTTAAAGGGAATAGTATGAGATAAAACTGGAAAAGTAAGTTTGAACCAAATTGTGGAAGACCTTGATTGTTAGGAGAAGAAACTTGTGTTTTATTCTATAAGCAATGGGAGCCATTCCTTAAGAAAAAAAATTATTATAAATGCTAATGATCCAAGCAAAAATGAGCAAACAAGCTAGATGAAAAATAAAAGCATAAACTCTAAACTTATTTAAATTTTTATCAAATAAAAATATACTTTTACAAAATAGCATTTTATTGTTCCAGTGTCTTTTTCTTCTGTGTATTTATGTTTTGTTGCTTATTTTTTATATAGTCATAGTATTTATATTTTGTTCTGAATTGTTTTTTTTTTTGCTCTGTATCATTTCATATGTTTTCCCATACATGTCTGGATTCTTTGTATTGATAAACTACATTTTATTCAGCTATTACACAACTGTTGTACATATAATTGTTTAGTTTTTCTATTACATTTTCAATTCAACAGGTTTTTATTAGACAGCTACAATATTCCAGGCACTGTGCTAGGCACCGAAGAAGATACAGAGTCAGGTATAAAACAGTCCCTACTATCAAGGAGTTTACATTCTATTGGGAGAGGAAGAAAGACACATGTATAGAAAATTAAAAACAAAATGTATGCAAAGTAATTTCCAAGAAAAGGGCAGTAGCTACTAGGAGCATTAGGATAGACTTCCTGTAGGAAGTGGCATTTCTGCTAATCTTTAAAAGAATCTAGGAATTCTCTGAAGCACGGAGTACTGCTTGTGTAAAGACAGAGAGCCCATATGGAATGTTATGCACAATGAATTGAAAGTAGGCCTTTTATCTGGAGCATAATGTGTTTGAAGGACAATAATATGGAATAATCCTCAAAGTAAGGATGGAGCCAGATTGTGAAGGATTGTAAATGCCATACAGAATAATTTGGTTTTTGTACTCAGGAGAGGAGGGAGCCACCAGAATTTGTTGAGCAGAGGAGCAGTGGTAAGACCTTTGCTTTAGGAATGTCAATTTAATGGCTGCGGGAAGAATGAATTGTTGAGTAGAGGTACTAGAAGCCAGGACACCCATTAGGAAGGAGAGTGGTAACATGAGGCTGAACTAGGTTGTGGCTATTTGAGTGGAGGGGAGGGAACAGATATGAAATCTAACGTGAAGGAAAAATTGACAAGACTTGGCAACTTGGATGTGAGGGGTGAAGGAGAGTGAAGGATCTGAGATAATTCTGAGTTTGTATACCTAGGTGACTAGAAATATGGTGATGCTTTCCAGTGAAATAGAGAAGTTTGAAGGACAGGTTTCAGGGGCAAAATATTGAATAGTCTACCTTGGACTTGTCAAGTTTGAGATAAATTAATTTAAAATTACTTATAAAGTGCTGTGCCAGGCACTATGGATACAAATACAAGCAAGTAAGACAGTCTCAGGCCTCAAAGAACCTTTATTCTAATGGGGAAGGCACCACGAAGGGGAGCTAGAAGTGGAAGGAGGTTGAAAGTGGCCAGGAAGTGGCAAGGTGGCCTGGATAATGGAAGACAAGGTGAAAGTTCAACTAATAGAGCCCAAGATCGCAGAGACAGAGTCCAAGTCCTGATGTGAGGGGGATGAGTAGGGTGGTCAGAGTACATGTGAATGGTTTGGAAGGAAATGACTAGAAAGAATGATGATGTCTAGATTCCAGGCAAAAGAAAGCAAAAGAAATGTCTATGGGACATCCAGTCAAAAATGTCAAATAGGCAATGGCGATGTAGGCCTGGAGTTTAAGA